GATTGCTTCGTATTTCAGTCGTTGTGCTTCTCGATACTTTTCCAAACGTTGTTGCTCAGCCTTTTTCTTTTCATTTGAATCAATTAGTTCTTGTGGCATCAAAACATCATTTGATGAATTCGACATGTTGTTTTAAACTAATTATTTTTAATTGTGAATTTTTTATTTCGAATATTTTTATTAATACAATCAATTAGTTAAATAATTTAAAATAAAAATGAATTCATTTTCAATAAATAAAGTAAACTTTACTAAAAGTTAAAATACAAAATTTTGGTAATTCTTGGTTAATAATAGTAACTCTTTAATAAATGTTATAATAAAAGGCATATCAATTACTCGACCAGCACTCAATTGATTGACAGCACAACCATTGACCAAAATACCCAATAAAAATTTTAGTTGTGTTTGTGTTTTAAATAATTATCACTCATGTGTATTTTTATAATTATAAATTGATTGACATAAAGTAAATACAGCGTTTTATTTTTTAGAAAAACCAAAGTGGATCTGAACTCGATTAACAAATGTATCTTTAGATAGTTCGGTTTGGATCTCCTTCAATTTACCAATTGTGAGTGTGAAAAGCTCGAGACTCTTAAAGCACGTCAACGGGACTGCAATAAACTTGGTGATCTCAGTGGTACAATACACGGAAGTTTTTACAACCATGGGTAATTTGAGTTTTCATAACGAAAATGAATTGCCTCGAGGTTCCCGGAAACTCGATTTCTGGGTTAAATTATTGATGTGACAGACCAATATTAAATTGTCAAGCGCAATCTTTCTCTTTTTCCAAATTAGATATCGAAACTTTCGCCACTCAATTGAGTGGAGCAGAGAGTCTTCTGGTATATTGCTGCATTTGAAGACATGTAGGCTTGGGAAACATATAAAAACCTACAATAGTATGACTTTAATGTGTATTCCAAAAAGCACAACGGGGTTCAAATATCAAAAAGCATTCATTTAGCAAAGTTTACACAATAATCCCAACTTGCTCTTTTCTTGACACCAATTTGAAGAATAATGGATTATCGATATAACACACATGAAACATTTTCGCATTCAAAATCACTTTTTCTGAAATTTGTGATTTCTTTATTGTTTTAATTTTTGTTTTTTGTGGCTTTTATAATGTTTCTCTTTATCTCAAAGCTGTCTTTCACTTTGCCTTTCTTTATAGGAATTTTTAAACACCCTTTCGAACTTCGGATGTTTGTTTATTAATTGATAATACAAGATATCGAAAAGCATAATCGATACAACAACACGAATTCCAATAATTGAATGTGGATTTGAAGGCAGCATCAAAGGGTTTGACATCAAAACTGAAATTGTTTTTAACTAGTTTTTATTAATACATCTTGTAAGGAGTTAATAAAATCTCGTTTTTCTCTCGAGATAATAGTGGATTTCTAATTAAGAGAATTGATAACAACAATTCTATATACAATTTTATATACAGTCATTTTATATATAAAAAACACTGCATTTTTTTAACTTACAAAATAGATTTTAAAACTAGAGTTAGTCTTTTAACGTTATCTAGTGGACAAAAAAGCTTTAATTTTGTCTTAAAATCGGGCATTAGGTAAAGCGTAAAAAACCCAGAAACTATTGGGATAAGTTTTTGGGACTGCTTCCCGAAATATTCCTATCTTTATGGTCCAAAAGGTAACGTTTGAGACCAGATAATGTTAAAAGACTGACTGTAAAATAATAATTTGTGTGGCATTTACAGTAGGAGGAAATAAAAGGATGCCAGAAAAAGAATGATGCTTGCAACAATTGGTTAATTTTTAAAACAAAAATGGAAGGTTCATAATTTGAATATACTGAAACCATTTAATTTCAAAAATAAGGATTTTTAGTAAAAACAACAATTACATTACAGTACAGCATTTCAGATAGTGAAGAAAGCACGGTTAAATAAGCGACAGTACAGACATTATCAGCTGTAATCCCAGACAAAAAGTAATTGACACAAGATAACTTCGAGTGATCACTTGGTCGATAGTCGGTACATGATGACGTTTCCATTATGGACACCTTTTCTTTGGTGTTGTTTGGTGCAGTTAAATTGGTCATTAATTCGGTTCTAATAAATACATTATTTGTGAGGTAAGTTTTGTATTCTTTAATAAATCTTTTGGCACTTTGTATGTCTACATAAAACCTTCATTTACCGTCCACAAACCTTAGAACAATTTCTCCTCGTTTGAATGATGAAATGACATTTTTATATGAAGAAGAGAGATCAATAGAGTTTATGATTTCTGCCATACTTCTTATAAAAGACTCAACATTTTAGCTCTTTTTCTTTTTTAAGTGCATCAGTGGAAGTGTTGGTGAAATTGGCTATTTCTTTTATCAAATCTTTCATTGCTCCTTTGAATTTGTAATTTTCACCAAGGTGACAATCACTTGAAAAGAAAAAAACACTATTACCACGGGGTTGCTGATTTGCACCAATTTGTGTTGCAAAAAGTGGTGTAGTATTTGTCTATGTCTTTTTGACACATCCAAATAGACACAGGTCTAGTGGTTGAACTAAATGCGAAGTATGAGGAACATACATGTGGATTTGAATGTTATGCTTGGCGCATATTTCCCTCAATGCTTCATAATAATTCCCGATAAACCCATCCATAGTCACCAGGGAGGGTTTGTTGATATCAAAACCATTCTTCACTTTGATTGAGTTAATGGTCGGAACAACCTTTATAACAAACCAGGTTGTAAAGATGTTTTTTGTTGCAAAACCGGTTTCCAAAAAATAAAAGGTCGAATCATAATTGTGTTTGAAAGTTTCAATGGGCAAATTTTTCAATCCAACCACTGTTCCTGGACAATGAATTTCTCCTGCCATAGATATAATACATAACAAGGTCGTGCGTTTCCTTCCTTTATTGTAACCAATTTTGACTTTATTTACATTTGAATGTACAAACACTTTGACGGTTTTTCTATCTGTATAGTCTTCAAACCCTATTTCGTTTATATTGAATACTAGCTGTACTGGAATGCCATTGAATTTTGAGAGATCTAGATTATTGGTGATTATATTTGAAGGATTAATTCGCAGTCTACCCATATCTTCAGAATTCCATTAATGTATTTTAAATTCAAATGAACCACTGACCACTTTCTTAATGTGTCATTTTCAACCTTCTTTGACTGCGTTTTTTCCAATATCAACGCAAACGATTTTAGTGTAATTGCCAAAGTCTGAGTTGAACAAAACTTATAAAATGATGGAAAAAACGATTTCACTTGGTGGAGTTATCAAAGAATGTCTTCCGATATAATTTTTACCATCAATAAACTTTTTATTATAATATAAAATTTGTTTGGATATTATGCCACGGTTTATATTAAATAAAACAGCTAAAGATCTGTGAGTGCACTCATTATGAAATTTAAATTTAGAATAAATTAAACCAATTTGTAGTCGTATTGTGGAATCTATCATTTTAGCTAATAACTCAACATCGTTTTTTAATTTTTCATTGAGTTTTCTTTGAAAAATTGAAAAAAATCTATGGGTTTTCGAAAAAATCTTTTGTAGTATCAAATGGCACGGAACTTTAATAAATAATCAAAAATGTTTTAATTTGTTCAACACTATAACCATGTTTAAGTTCTTTATAAGTTTTCTTGTCAACAACAGATTGGAATAGTTGTCTGTTTTTTTCAATAAAATGTAGTGTTAAAATTTCATCAAGTTTAATTGGTGCCAAATTTTTTACATCATCGTTTCCCAATGAGAAAGAGTTAATATGTTGTTTTTCCATGTTGTTTTTTACTTTTTAGTTCTAACTCTCTTTGTTATTTTGTATAAATTTAATAATAATTATGGTTAATTTATTGTTTTGTTTGAAGCTTTGCATCCCAAATTCCATTGTTATTTTTAATTTAACAATAAAAAATAATAAAAACTTTAATAAAAATAATTAAGAAATCGAATAACAACAATTTTATATTTTTGGAGTAGCATCTCCCTATTTCTCAGCATCCCACTTTTTCCGTGACTGTATATGTAAATAATACCAGTGACCAAAAGAGTAACGAGCTATAGTTATAATAAATTTATTTTTAAAAATAAAACACTTTTAAATTATAAATATAATTTAAAATGAAAAGACAAAATGTAGTTAAAATGAAATTTTGGTTCGAAAAAAAGGAAACTGTAATAACAACACACAATGTTACACCAGAACCATTTCAAGAAAACGGTTTATCATTTGGTATTATACCTCTACTACAAATGTGGAAATTATAATAATTTAAAGAAAAGCCACCTCGAAAAAATTCAATTGTGTGGCTATACTTCGGTAAGTTTTTCTCCCTTCCCCAAAAATGGGCAAACCCAATATCTTGTTCAATGCAAATTATGTGGCGTCGTTCTCCCTTACATTTATCCATTTCAAGATTTCATAGTTCCTATAGCCAAGTATCTTGGCTAAGAATCAATGGAAAGATTTCTATTTAAATTTTTGGTTTTTCCAAGCCTTCTCAAAACTGTTAAATAAATTAAAGATCAAAACATCAAAAACATTATTTACTGTTTTGCCTATTAACAAATAATATTTATAAAAATTACTTTTAAGACATTTTAAATAACTATTCAAAACAACTTTATAATCATTACAATTTAGTTTATTTTTGTTAATACAAAATTACTGTAAAATAATTAAATAAATTTAATTATACACTAATGTTATATAATTAAACTTTAAATTATTGGGAGTATAATGAGATATAAATTCTTGATTTAATATTTATAACATCAGTAAATAAATAATCAAATTTAAAAGATTAATTTAATAATAAAACCTCAAATCATTTTAAAACCACTTTCTGTTAAATTTAAATTTAAAATTGTTGTTTTATATTG